TATGGTTCATGGGGTCACGAAGAGTTGGACACGACTTAACAACTAAACAACAACAACAAAAACATACTGCCCTACTGACAGATTAAAATGCGTATTAGATGTGAGTACATTAAATCATTCTTCTTTCTCACAGAATAAGTATTGAATACCTCATTTATTTCTGTTTGTATTGATTACTTTTCTTTCCTGTTTCTTTTAGTCCTTCCCATTTCTCCCAGGTATTTTAACATTCTGTTTCTTAAGAACAAACCACTTTCTCAAAACACAAAGCAATAAACTTCTCAAACTTTTAAACAGGGATATATAATGCAAATGTTGCACTCACCCACTTTATTTAGGTTCAGCCACCTTTATGATCTTTAAAAACATACATGCTGGATTTCCTTAATTCATTTTGATTATATATAAAATAAACTTTCTATACAATGAACCAAAGAAGACCAAGCTTTGCCCCTGTAAATAGAGTCTGGTTACTATGTCTTATTATGATAAAAAAAATATTAGCTTGATAATAATAGAAATGTTTATGAATAATAATGTAATAATGTTTAGCCATCACAGAGCTGATTAAATACTTCTCAGCTAGCCTCAAGGGGATAATGTGGCCATGTTTGGATGCCACAATAAGCCAAATCACAATTTGGCTTACGGATATGTGTAAACATGCCAAATATGTTTTATTAGTAGCACTATCCTACCTATTTTTATTCCAAAGTGCAAATCACTGTGTTTAATATGACTTACTTCCATTAAAGTATACATAGAAATGCAGGTAATCCTTGTTTTGCGACTGCCTTATTTAGCAATTGTTTGCAATTACGACAGTGATGAAAAAGTAACTTTATGACCAATCCTCACATTTACAACCTTCTCAGGTCTGTAAAGCAAAGGAAAGCTGAAGTAAGATCATAAGCACAGTTGCAGTTTCACTTAGTGATTGCTTTGTTTAATGACCAGGTTGCTAGTCCCAATTGTAGTTGCTAAATGAGGACTACCTGTAGAGCACAACTTTGTTTCAAAAATGGATGTATGTGTATGTGTGTGTGTGTGTGTGTGTATGTTGCATATATATATGGACTATCATTTGAATTAAAAACAACTGTTCAGTATATGGCATAGGAGCAATTCTATGTGATCATATGGTTCATGGCAACACTTATGAAGGTTGAAATTTATGAAAAATTGAGATTACTTTTCCGTAAATGTGCATAATACTGCATTATGAATAAGTTGAAAAATACTGGTTTTATTATCATTGGCACAATGTCCTATATTTTCCCATTGAATAAACAATCTGCGAATGCTTATAAAATAGCAGTATCCATGTTAGTAAATAATACAAACAATATTTCATAAATTAATATAAATGTAAAGATACAGTTTTCAATTTTAAAAATGATACTAATCTACAGATACTGTACAGTAAATCAATTGCTACTCTGTAGTTGATAAAGTATGTGAAATTATCAGTTTTAATGACAGCTGCACCAAATACTAAAATATTTAGAAGGTTATCTGAAGTCTCCTTATTGGCAACGTCAGCGTCCTTGCTTGTTGCAGAAGTCTCTGCCGATTGCATTCCTCTTTTCTCTTAAGTTTAGAATGCAGGGTTCTGTGTTGATAATTACATTGCCCAGCTCTGGTTATTTGTACAGTTATCCGTGCATCTGATTCAATCCAGGTACACAGAATATTTACAAGGATTTATGTATAAACCAGTTAAATAAAAATTACAATGTGATATAAAACTCTGCTTTAACAAGCTTTATCAACTCCTTATGCTTTGAACTTTGTGCCATACTTCGAGCTTTGTTATCATTTGCTTTTTTTTTCTTCTTAATTTGGTGCGCTGCATCTCACAAGTTGCATCTTGCAAGAAGCCATGTTTTATATAGCTGTGCTCATGCTTTTTTTTATATAATGTTTCAGCTCATCCACCATATACCATGTGCTTTAGAGTGAAATTCTACCCGCATGAACCCCTGAAGATTAAGGAAGAACTCACCAGGTATTTTTGTCCTGTCCGTGCATTTAGTGTTTTACTAAATTTCTGTGCTTTTACTGACTTTTAATTTTATACATATTTTCTAGGATTTTTAGAGCAGTTTATGAGATATTTTAATTAATTAGTATATATGTCACGCATAGACATGTTAGTCATTAGAGAAATATTAAAATATATATTAAGATAATTTAATTATCAATGCCTATATTAGGCCCATTCTGGTTTAAAAGATAGTGTGTAAACTTTTGAGTTATTCAGTTTGCTTTATCAGGTAAGATGTAAACAAAGCTGTTACTGAGTACTCCATTCTTAGATGGAACGCATATTACTTGAGAAGTGGTAAAAACATAAATGGAAGGAAATTTGATTGTCACTGTATTAACAAAGTTAGTAATAGAACTGTAAAGGTGCTGACATTAAGCATTACATGTTAAGCATTTGTCACTGAATTAACAAAGTTAGTAATAGAACTGTAAAGGTGCTGACATTAAGCATTACATGTTAAGCATTAATGTTTTGCATGACTATGTAG